TCATTTCCACACCAGCCTTGCTGATGAAGAGAAACTCAGTAGCTTAAGAGACAAGGCAAATACTCTGTTACTCTGCACTGATAATCATATAACAGGCATAGCAGCAACCTCCCGATATTTTCAGTTAGAGGCAGTAAATAGGCCATAAAATGAGGCCGTCAATCTTATATACTGGCCAGGATCAATGTAAGTACCATGAAAAGCAGGCTACAGGGAAGGTAAAACTATGAAGAAGAAGAGAACAGAGAAGCCATTCAAAATTACTTCTGCTTCTCAGATATTTCTGCAACCACCACAGGGGAGAGACTCCATCTAAGCAGTTTTGCCTTGGGGCTGCAGGCTAATGTTCTGTGTTGCAGGCTCTGCTGTGAATTTCCACCTCAGGAGGCTGGCTCATGCTCTGTACCTTGCTGGTAGCTTCAAGCAGTGCTAAGAAGCCCAGCTGGTTAATAGGCAGCTTGACCAGCAGGCCAGTTTCAGGCAACGTCTCCATCTTACCAATGTTTCTCCTGGGAAATTATGCAAAGGTAAAACGGATCCCTGAAGCATAAACAGGCAGAAGCACAAGGCCGAGGTGTGAAAAGTAATCATCCAGGCCATGGATGGGGCAAGGGAGGGGGAGGAATTTAATTTTCCTGCCCTATGGTATCTGGGCCCAAGGAGCATGTCTTTAATACAGCTGACTTGGCACTAGTTCTACTGTTTGCTTTGCAAAGCAAAAACAATCTTAATCTGAGCTGAAAATACTGGCTGGGGAATTCTGGGAGTTGAAGTCCACACATCTTAAAGTTGCCACGGCTGAGAATTGCTGCCCTAGAGCAAGGCAATGACAAACCACTTCCAAGAGGTTCATAAGCTTCTCCATTAACAAAGCAGATGCGGAGTTAAACTGGAAATAATTTTAACTTTATATCAGGCTTTTTCAAGCATGGCTGTATATTTTCTCAGTCCTAACTCTATAAAGCTATGATTTGAGGTCTCAAGCTCCCAACCCCTTATTTTGGAACAGGCTAATCAGCAGAACTCTCACAAACACATTTGGCTAAAATGATTTCTTTATTGCACACAGAAGATTTGCCTACCGCAGAACACAGAAAAGTCTGAATATATATTTGCTCCAGAGTTTAAATTCTAGGCCTTTTTCTTCCAAATTTTTGAGTCAATGGAAATTTGGTCTTTCTCTTCATGGCCTTAAGACTAGGAGACACCTGCTGAGCACTGACATAACAATTCTGTCTGGGTTGCGAATCACTGGTTCCCTTCTCATCAGCCTCATTCCAGGTACTTTAAAAGATGCTGAAGAGGCAGGGAAGAGATGGATGAACCAGAAACAAAATGAACACAGAGGAGTGGATGCAAGATTCACTGCCAACAGACTATTCTTGACATTGCAGTCCAGCTGCACTTTGGATCTCTGCAGGTCTTTTGCATTAAGCAAGATTCCTTCACTCTTATTGCTGATTATGTTGGCATGCATTTTACAGCAAATCAGTTGAATAATATCTTTATGACAGCTTTACAGCAAGCCATTACATTTTTTCCCCTTTACAGACAGAAGCCTGGAACTGAAAGTCTGGAAGATTTGCATGAAGCAGTACACAATACAAAGCCATTAGGTCAGTGACCTCAACTGAATCAAAGTATTCTGGGTCATGTCTCAGTCAAGTCTCTCATTTATTATATACCCCACAAGCCTGATAAATTCACATCCAGATTTTCAAGACCTACTAGCAGAGATAATTTGGTATAGAGTTTCTTTACTGGTATATTTGGTGTAATAACATGGAAAATAATACATATTCAGACCCATTGAAATCTCATTGTGAAGTCAGGGCTCAAGTGGGATTTATATTGGGAATCTACAACTCAATATGCCACTTCTTGCAATGCCATTATTTCCATATAGTTGCAAAGAACATCATGATTCTTACTTTTATGCAATACAGATTCAGTTTCACATTTTGTGAGGGCAGAGTTCAGGTGACAGAATCTGCAACTCAGGCTATCCCACGCAAGGGCACCATTTCTATATAGCTATATACAGTAATTATGCATAATTATCCTTTACAAAGTAAAGGAATCACCAATCCCACAAATGGAGGAGCTCATGTCACAACTGTTTCATGGAGGTGAGCTTTTTGCCACCTTCTGAGTCCTTTATCATTGGTTTCTGCTAATCTATTGCTAAAAGAAAAAATTAGTTATGTAGGTCTTAAGGTCCTTAAGGTAGAGCTTAAGGTCTAGCAGATCTAATTATTTAATTTTACCTATCTTAAGAAGTTAACCACATTTATCTTGCAGAAGACTAAGACATTAATTGTGGCATAAGAGTTTAAACAGGATACATTCATGCTTAAGATGGCATACGCATTCTGTGCCAAGCTTTCACTGGTGGCAGTATTGCTGATTTGTGCCCTGTCTCACAACTTTTGAAGGCCACATAGGGTGGGAATTCTGGAAATTGCTGTTCCAACACATCTTGAGGGCACTAGGTTAGGAAAGGCTGCTCTCAGCCCACACAGAGATGCTTTTTAATGGGGGAACTGTCTCATGTCTCACACTTGAGGGAGGGCTATATCTATATCTCTATTGATTTTGCACTTTAATGACGTATGGGGCAACTATAGCAACAGAAGAGGTGGGACTCAAATAAACATTTACCTTCAAACCTCTCAGAGTCTTCAAAAAGGCCAGCCTGGTACCATCCAGAGTGATCTCTCTCTACATATGTATAATTATCTTAGACCTTAATCTTGACTTAACTCTCTAAGCGTGGCTCCCCCATAGTCAAAATGGTGTCAAGAAAAAAGCCATCGGGAGGCTATAATACTTCTCTCTCCCCATCCAAACCCCACCCACCCACC